TATACCTCACATTAGGGTATATATACAAACAGTGCTAGATTGCACAGAATCTAGATTAAATGATTATATGTCTCTATGATTATCAGATTCCTAAAATGTTTATATCTATATTGTTTTCAAATGATCATAAACAGACTAATTTTCATGGATTACATGATTACAGATAAATATACTGTAGTGGCAGTAAATAATTTATAATTCTAAGTTTATGTGTACATTTTCATTTCTAAAAAAATTCAGTTGATCTTTTAATATTCACAATATACAAAGGTCAGGTAAATAAATTTGTGATCCATACCTCTGAAATAGAAGACAGAAACACTTCATACCATTAAATATACAGATTATTTATTTGTTTGTTTGTTTGGAACAACTCCAGTATACTTTGGAAGTGTTTTTATTCTAATGGGTTATATGCACAGCTATTTTTTTTTCAGTCAATGATGAACTTCCGATGAAAACTTTATGTGACTATTTTTATATTCATAAGGTTCCTTTTACAGCATCGATGTTGTAATGTAATTCAAATATAATCAGTTAAATAGACTTAAGCATCCTTCTGGTTGTTAAAGCGTAAAAAGAGACTAAAGACTGTTCAAACGCAGGCACCGTCATTAGCAGCAGGCTCATGCAGAAATATTGTTGAAAATACTGGGGTAAAATAAATTTCTATTTTAATATTTTAAAGACATGGCATGGAAAAATATAATTTAATGCAGTGCTTCTTGCTTGGTCTGATACCCACTTTTTATCATATCTCAGCCAGAAAGTGAAGATCGCTGTTTATTAAAGAAATCAAATGCGGATTTTGTATTGGATGTCAATTAACCGGAAGCCCTGGGGCAGGCTGACTGAGAATAAAAGTCTGTGTGCATATACTCTATTAAATGTTTTTATGTAATTTTTATGTAATTTTAATGTAATTATTAGATTTTAACTCATAACCCTCCGCTTGTTCATTCACCCCAGTTTATCTGATGTAACTTTATGATGTTGATCCAGAAAGGAAATAATTTATTTTATTTTTATAATAATTAAATTTAAATCATGTCATGAAAATTCACCTCAAAAGTAATCTAAAGTTAATCCAAAATAATCCAGATTTCACTGACTACAATTTCATTATGTCATTTGTAATCAGTAACTGACTTCAATTTGTAGGACATTCATTTATTCATTCATTCATTTACTCACTCACTCACCCATCCATTCATAGTAAATAAATACTATGAACAGTCAAAAATAAAATAATTTTTCCTCCTGTGTAATTGTGATTGTTCTTTTTGAATTATTTGCCAAGTGATGTTTAAAGCAAATAAGATTTAAACAATTTAAAGCAATTTAAAGCATTTTAGCATTTTTCTAGTAAAGGCTTTCTTCTCTGACTTAATGATTTTTTCAAGATTCTATGGTATTCAAAGGCTTAACTAAATTAATTAAGTTAACTTAGGTAAGATACTGTTGGCTAATTATGCAGTCAATCAACAACAGTGGTTTGTTCTGTAGCTGTACAAAAAGCATAATTTCTTAAGGGGATAATAATATTGACAATAGTGTTTTTAGCATTTTTATTTATTATTATTATTTATTAATTCATTCATTCATTTATTCATTCATTTTCTTTTCGGCTTAGTTCCTTCAATAATCTGGGGTTGCGCCACAGCGGAAAGAACCTCCAACTTATCAAGAATTAGTTTTTACGCAGCGGATGCACTTCCATGCAGCTGCAAGCCATCACTGGAAAACATCCATACACACTCATTCACTATGGACAATTTAGCTTACCCAATTCACCTATAGCAGCATGTCTTTGGACTGTGGGGGAAACCGGAGCACCCGGAGGAAACCCACGCCAACACAAGGAGAACATTCAAACTCCACTCAGAAATGAAAACTGACCAAGGCTTGACCCAACAACCTTCTACCCACTGTGTCACCGCGTCACCCCATTATTATTATTATTATTATTATTATTATTATTATTATTATTATTATTATTATTATTATTATTATTATTATTATTATTAGTATTATTATTATTATTACTACTACAGCCAAACTAAAAGAAATAAAACTTTCTCCAAAAGAAATATTGTGACAAATGTCCTTGCTCTTTTAAAGATCACAGGAGATAAATATTCACAAGAGTGCAATTTTTTTTGTCTTCAACTGTAAGTGTAATAATAATAACAACAACATTGCTTGCCAAACATTCCTCAAGTGTTTTATCTTGACTAAGTTAATTAAGAAACTTAAATATGAATAAATTGGAAGGGGAAAAGTTGTTATACAATAACCATTTGCTTTTTCCTGAATGCACTACTGAGCAGAACACATCAGTATCACTAGTATCATCACTATTGTAATTGTAATGATCACCACTTCCCTTTTTATGTTCAACTCTTGTCTTGATCTGAGTTTTCCGGACACCTGAGGTCAGGCTGTAAATGAGGGACTTTGCTCTGCGTGACAGGACTGTCCCGTGAGAGATGCTTTGCTTCACACTGCACAGCGGGACAGAAGGACATGAGGAGCACAAGACCCACAGCTTAAGGTAACTCTAGATAAAGAAGAATACAGGTGACAGATGGTCAGTTTGTTTTTATTAAGCAATAGCACACATGCATGCTAAGACTAAGGCTCAGATTTCACCTTCTGATGATTTAGTCTTACAAATTGAACTGCTTTTATCAGCGTTTATGTGTAGTGATTCTGATTGATATTCTCTGCTATTTCATGTTCGCTTTTATTCGGTATACATGTATGTAATTATTTTAAAGATCTCCACTTTTATTCACATATTATGTAAAAAGTGCACATTACAGCAAAGCTTTCAATGAGTAATGCAGCAAAGCTTATGAATGATAAACATTAACTGAGTCAGATGAGAGAAGGGCTGACAGGCAGGTGAATCACATGATCAGAGTCATTTAAACACTGGTTTACTAGTGCTGTGTTGGACTGGCTAAACTATTATTTTCAGGTTTATGTATGTAGTTTATATGACGCTGCAGAAAAGTGTATTCAAACGGTCTGTTTGTATTCTTCTTTTAAGGTTAGAAATAGAAATAAATAAGTCTAATTTTTTATGCACTTCTTCCAAGTATATTCTCAGGAATATGCTTTTAATTATACTGCATACTTTTTTTTAAAAAGTCAAGTTTACATACAGTGAGATTATTAAGGACAACAGAGTGAATGTTTTGGAGTGGCCATCACAAAGCCCTGAACCCAATCTTATAGAAAATTTGTGGGCAGAGTTGAAAAAGCTTGTGCAAGCAAGACAACAAATCTGACTCAGTTACTAAATTCTGCCAGGAGGAATGGGGAAAAATTCCTTCAAACTATTGTGAGAAGCTTGTGGAAGGATACCCAAAACATTTGACCAAAGTTATTCAGTTTAAAATCAAAGCTAGAAAAAGTACCAAGGAAATGTATGTAAACTTTTGACTGTCTTGAAATTAATAAAAAATTCTTTAAAAATAAAATTATTCTGACATTTAGCAGATGTAAATCATTTAGTTAATCCTTACAGACCTAAATTAGTAAACGTTTAGTATGATTTACCATCAGACATTTAAAAAAAATGGTTATGTTCCTTTTTTAGGGTGTGTGTACACTACTGGTTTCAACTGTACGTCTCACTGTAAAAAAAAAAAAAAATGCAGGGTTCCACATTGTTCTAATACAAATTAAGTTAACTTAACAAATTTAAGTAGATTGAACACAAACAAATAAGCTGTCTCCAAAAAAATCTCAAGAATTCTGTTAAAACAAGCAGCAGAATTAATTTTTGAGTATTGAGTTGTACTTTATAATGAATATATACTTATATAATATTAAAATATGTAGTTTTCTATTTTGTCTGAGTAGCCTTTACTGTTTTTTTTTAATGTTTAAAGTGCTTTTTCTAAGAGTCAGTTAGTATTTCTGTGTGGAGTTTGCATGTTCTCTCCATTTTGGTGTGTTTCCTCTGGGTGCTCCGGTATAGGTGAATGGGGTATATGCACACAGACTTTTCATTTCATTTCATTTCATTTCAGTCAGCCAGCCCCAGGGCTTCCGGTTAATTGTCATACCACACAAAATCGCCAAGTTTCTTTAAAAAACAGTGATCTTCACTGCCTGTCTGAGATACGATATAAAATGGGTATCAAACCACACCAAGCCTTGAAAATATGGAAATTAATTTTACCCCAGTATTTTCAATGGAATTTCTGTGCTAAATTGCTGCTAATGACAGCTGCATTCAAACAGTCTTTTGTATTTTTTTACGCTTGAACAACTAAATGAATGCTTAAGTCTATTTAACTGATTGTATTGTAATTACATTACATCGATGCTGTAAAAGGAACCTTATAAAATTAAAAATAGTCACATAAAGCTTTCAGCGGAAGTTCAACATTGACTGAAAAACACTAGCTGTGAATATAACCCATTGAATAAACTTAATTGGCAGTACTGTATGTGTGGTAACAATGAATGTTTCCTAGTAGTGGGTTGCAGCTGGAAGGGCATCCTCTGTGTAAAACATATGCTGGACAAATTAGTGCTTCCTTCTGTTGTGGTGATCCCTGATTAATAAAGAGACTAAGCTGAAGGAAAATGAATCTCTCTTCTAAACACAGCAACACATCCACCTCATACAATTAGCCAAAGAGTTGTTAGATAAAATTAAAATTCTGCTTTTTCAAAACGCTGGATACTTTTTTATACCATTCCTTATTTTCTCAAAACACAGCAAATCCAATTTAAAATTGAATGTATATATCAGAATCAGAAATCAATGTGAAATCCTGTCTATACACTAAGAATTGGTGTAATATTGCAAAAAAAAAAAAAAAACAACAACAAATCAACTCTGCATATAGTGCAATATTAGATTTCACTTATACACAAACAGTCCTTCAGGTAAAGGACACAATAAAGTACAGGGATCTTCAGAACTTGGCCACATTTTCGCTGTTTTTGCACCTTATATTGAAAGAAACACTTCACACCTGACACACCCCTCACAGTCTTCAGTCTCAGTCTCTGCAGCCTCCAATGCATCCAGGGTGGACATTTGATCATGTGGTGAATGATTATAGACTTTCACCTATCAAAGCAAAAAAATAATAATAAAATAAAATTCTCGATGGGATTGAGAAGAGTTGGAAGACATTTCTCAATTGTTAATAATTAAACTACTGTAAGTCTTATCTGCTGATGTTACAGAAACAACATAAATGTAGTGTACGTTCATTGTGTTTAAAGTTTGAAACATCAGCTTTTCTGTTCTGCCAAGCTGTGTTTAATAAAGATAAGAAAGATCCATGATTTTAGTATGGGAAACGTTTGTGTGAAAAAGACATTTGAGAAATTTAAAAATTTTCATGCCAAATTTTGACTGAATAATATGTAAAAACATGATTTGTGTGAATTATGGGAGTTGTCCTGGAGAAATAATAAAGAGTTATAGGAGATGAGTGGCTGGAGATGAGTGTGAAATACAAGAGACTCCTGGGAAAAACAGATCGTATGGTGAAAACAACATTCATTCATTCATTTATTTTCTTGTCGGCTTAGTCCCTTTATTAATCCGGGGTCGCCACAGCGGAATGAACTGCCAACTTATCCAGCAAGTTTCTTACACAGCGGATGCCCTTCCAGCCGCAACCCATCTCTGGGAAACATCCACACACATTTCACACACACACTCATACATTACGGACAATTTAGCCTACCCAATTCACCTGTACTACATGTCTTTGGACTGTGGAGGAAACCCACACGAAGGCAGGGAGAACATGTAAACTCCACACAGAAACACCAACTGAGCCGAGGTTCGAACCAGCGACCCAGCAACCTTCTTGCTGTGAGGCGACAGCACTACCTACTGCGCCACTGCCTCGGCGTGAAAACAACATGAGATGTGTTAATAGTATATGGTCACAGCATACAAATTTTGTGCTATCAGAGTTTAGAGTTTTGAAAATTGGACTATACTGTAAATTAGACCAAAGAATGTTAGCAACTGAAAAAAAAAACCTAAATACATTTTTTACACTGCCATCTTATAAACATGTTCAAGTAAGTTTAAGTCAAGTTCACTCTAAGGATCAATTCTATTTGACTGTTCCATGATCATGCTTGAAATGTTGAGATGATAGAGCTTTTAGAGCAAAAGTTTAGAGCACTTTCAAAGTTTATCTACTTTGGTTCCTTGTATGTTTGCATGTACAGTATTATGTGTTTTTATGTACAGCACTTTAGTACCCATTGTGGTTGGTTGAAAGTGCTCTAAAAATAAATTAGTCACACTTTACAATAAGGTTCATAAGTTGATGTTAATTAATGCATTTACTAACATGAACAAACAATGAACAATACATCTACTACTGTATTTGCTCATTTAAGTTAACTTTAGTTAATGAAAATACAGTTGTTCATTGTAAGTTCATGTTAACTCATGGTGCATTAACTAATGTTAACAAGCATGAACTTGGATGTTAATAATGCATAAGTAAATGTTCAATTATGATTAATAAATGCTGTGCATGTGTTGTTCATGATTAGTTCATGTTAGTAAATGCATTAACTAATAAACCTTACTGTAAAGTGTTACCAATAAATTGAGTTAAGTAGACAAAAGAATTGACAAGACATTAGACAGACAGGTAGACAAGCAATCAGACACAAAGATAGGAAATGCCCACCTGACGTGTGCGCTGGCTTTCAGTGCTGAGAATAGCAGGTTTGGAAAGCCTGCCCTGGCTCACTTTGGTCAAATTACTGATTAAACGAATTAAAATGAAATTAAAACACATCAGCACAATAAAAGATTTTTTAAGTAAAGAAAAAACAGTTTAAAGTAGACAACTGTTGTACTTATGGTTATAATAAGTGCAGATAAGAATAAGACAATATTCAAAACTAAATTCTATTTAACAGAACAGTTTGTGTTCTGGCATTTTGTTTTGGTCACTGAAGCATGCTTCATTACGCTTTTTTTAAAGGCACTTTATTTCATCTCAAGTGTTATTAGTTTTTCTTGTTTATTTTTTAGATAAATAAATGTGTTAAAGTTAAGATACAAATTATGGCAAACAAAAAACATACAGACAGAAAGACATGCATGGATGGTTTTACTTACCGATGTGTTTTCTATGTAGATGAGCTTCACCTTGAGAAGAAGTCAGTCCCTCAAGAGTCTCTCTGCGGGTCACAGTTCGTGGATTTGGGACAGAAAAACACCTGTTTCTCAGCTTGTCCAAAGGTGAACATGACCTCCACCATTATCCACAAGTTTGCATATACAGCACTGCCTCTCATCCATTGAGTTTTATGTCCTTAAACAAACTGTTTTCCCTAGGTATGAAAGCTGTGTGGATCTCACCGATGCTGGCAGAGAAGACTCCTGGTCCAAGGTAAAACACATTATCTGATCAAGTATTAGGTGGAACAGCAACACTCTCAGTCAACTTTTGTTTACACTGAGTATTTCTGAATCTCACAGCCATCAGGCCTGAGAAGATCAAACCATGAAGAGAGTAAAGTGGAAAACCTCTGGAGAAGATACGAGTCCCTCAGTGGGGCCAACGCCGCTTTATCAAGGAGCATCTCGATGGACATGCTGCCGCCGCCAGACCTGATGAGCACAAACACAGCAACGGGCATGTTTGAGTCAAAGAGCAGCCCTCGTCCCCAGCTCGCAGCGCAGACCAAAAACAGCTCCATGTGGAGGGAGAAGAGCTATTCTGGTGCCACTGCGGTCACCAGCACCAGTAAGCACAAGGCTCATCAGGTGTGTGTAACCGTCACGTCATGGTTTATTTTGGAGGACAGGCATGACTCAGGATTAGAGCATGTGTGTTTTTTTTACTGATGTAGTCACTGAATTATGTGTTGAGCGTTACTTTAAATACTGATGAATCATCCTGAGATGAGGCAGAAAATGGATGTTGAATGTCAAACAACAAATATAGTATGAGAATTAAGTCAAGAGCAACTATTAAAACCTATTAATGTTTACAATTATATAATGTATTATATTAATAATTCAATTATATATAGAAATTAGATAAATACTAGAAGTTTTTTGGCATATAGCTGAAAAATGTTAAACCATAAAAAAATTGAATGAAGTTATAGCAGAGTAAAAATGGAAAATATATTAAAAATAAGTGTACAGCATGTATGTAATATATAAAAAGAACAAAATTTTATGAAAATAAAAAGCCACTTGCTAAAATTCGGACTAATACATGAAATTAAATTGTAGAATCAAAATCAGTTTTATTGCCTAATTGCTAACACACACAAGGAATTTGTTATTTGTTTTGTCTACAGAAGCTTACAGTGTACACAAAGTGACAAGTAACAAAAAAATAAATAAAAAATACAACAAACAATAAACAGAGGAGCAATTAGTCAAAAAGCTCTGGATGTTGAATTGTATGTAAACATACAAGTTATAAGGTGCTGTGTACAAACGTGTATGAGAAAGTATTGGATTGTATATTGTGAACAGATTCTAATTCAAATTATGAATATGATTAAAAAAATTGTATTTAAAAAATAAAATAATACTGTTGTTAAAGATTTTTTTTATATGCCAAAATCATTTTTATAAGCAGTTAAAGCAATCTGAGAATAACTAGCTTTTAATGTTAAAAACGTATTAATTTTATTTTTTGTAATCATGCTTGATAAAAACAGTCTGCAGATATACATTTGATTGACATTCTCCTTTTTACATATCATCAAAGGGAGATCTCTACCTCATTAGCAAAGGGTGTTAGGGTTGTTTTTGAATCTGCCGCTATGCTGACACATAAGTATGTGTAGCTCCGCCCTCTTTTTAGAACAGCACAGTCTCATTTGAATTTAAAGCGACAGTCGCCAATACTGCACAAATTGTAATAAACCCTAAAAGGGGCGGGTTCAAAGAGTTCCAGAATATTTTTGTGTGGTATTTGAAGCTGAAACTTCACATACACACTCATCAGAGACTTTTTACATGCAAAGAGGGGCATAATAGGTTTTCTTTAACAATATCAATGTTATTGTGAAACAGCTCCTTTAATATAAATTTACAAAATTTAAATGTAAAAATTACAAAAATAGTTACAAATAATGCCTTAGTTATTATCATGTAATAAAATAATGGCTAACACTCAAGTTTAAGTAACAATTCCCAGTATTGAATACTGCCTTATTATTTGCCTATTATTAAGATTGCTGTCTTGTAAACATAATCTGTTTATTAGTACTTATAAAGCAGGGGTTCCCAAACTTTTCAGCCCCTAAATCCTAAAATAACAATGTCATTGACCCACATTTTGCTCTAAGGCGGTTATACTGTATATTTAAAAACATTGCACACAAAACTATAGGCCTATATAAACATGAGCATATTAAAAACACAAGCAACAGTCTAATAACCATATTATTTTTAATAGTCATTTATTAATTTAATATTAACATGAAATATCTTATTTTTAATGTATTAGAGTGCGATAAAGGTTGTCAGAAATTTTAACCTAGCCCAGTAAAATCAATCTATTGCCGCTGACGCTATTTCTGTGTGGTTAATCTAAACACACCAGGGGTCGCAATCCAATGGAAAAATATTTTGAAAGGCTGATGGATTTTTAATTGTATATGGTGTTATTTATGTAATGTAACTATTAACTAACTTCCGTTGGTTATGATTAAAATATGGTAATTCTAATAGTTTAATAAAACTATTCTATTCTATTCTACATATAATCATAATCCCACAATCCTAAACAATAAATAAAACCAACTACTACCTTACTACCTATTAATATGTAGCAAATTAGGAGTTTATTGAGCTTAGTTAATGGGTTTTAATAGCAAAAACCTTAAAATTCGACCAAATAAGAATATTAATAACAATTAATGATGTTTTGTTTAAAATTAATGATGTTAAACATTGTTAAAGGTCTAAACTGAATAATATTAATTATAATATTTATGAAAAAGCACAGCAATATAGAATTTTACATAAATAAAATAAACACAGGGCAACACTGTGGCGCAGTGGGTAGCTTGCTTCACAGCAAGAAGGTCGCTGGTTCAAGCCCTGGCTGCGTCAGTTGGCATTTCTGTGTGGAGTTTGAATGTTCTCTCCGTGTTCGCATGGGTTTCCTTCGGGTGCTCCATATTCCTCCATAAAAACAATACCTTAAAATTGTTAATAATATTAATAGTAGTAGTAATAAAAACTATAGTCATTTAATTTATATTACAGTACATCCTAAAAATATATATTTTTGAGATAATATTAAATGATTTAATATAATATTCAATAATATTATTCCCTTGTTAAACAGGAAAAATCCTCAGAGCCAATAAAGAGGAGGACAGTCAGTGGGGTTTCTGGATACATCAGCAGATGCAGATCCTCCACTGAACTCAATGGTAAAATGATAAAAACATGTCATTATTTTTATAACCAGTGCAAATGTGTGAGCAAAATGTCAGCTGTGATGTCAGTCAGTAACTGTAAGGTCAAAGGTCATCTGAGACAAAGCTTTGGTATCTCAAGTCCTCCAGCAGCATCTGTCTGTGTTAAAAATATTCCTCAGATAATCCTTACCGAATAGTTTTAACACACAAAATCCTGTCTGCGAACAGTGAGTCCCGTTTCACAAGTTTTCAGTGAGGGTTAAGTGCAGGACTAAATGTTGAGACTGTAAGTATGTGAGCAATGCATACATGAGACATGACAGACTGCATACACTGACTGCTATTACGACATTATTGAGCTCACATTCTTTGCCACTTCAGATTACGAAAGACAAACAGATATGAAGAGATAAATGTATTAGACTGAATCCACATCTTTTCTTACAAAAAAAACTCTGTGTTTCCAGCAATGCACTGTATAAAAAATCTGTAGTTTTACGATTTATTTCCGGCAGCTGGGTTGCGGGAAAAAATAACGGCCGTTAAATTACAGAAATATACCATAAAATAACAGTAATATAGTAACATTTAAATTTCTGATGAATTTCTGTAATTTAACGGCTGTTATTTTACTTTTTTTCCGGCACCCCAGCTGCCAGAAATAAACTGTAAAACTACAGATTTTTTTTTTTACAGTGTGCTTAAGTGATCTATTATATATTTCTCAGTTAACCCATTTTGGAAAAAAAAAATCATAAGATATCATAAGAATGTTAATAATAAACACATACAAATATAAATGTTAATTAATTCATATAAAACTCAAAATGTGAAAGCCACTTGTGTACAGTAAATGTATTTTATTCTTTCTTTTCTTACAAAAAAGTGTACACTCTAAAAATGTGGGGCTGTTTTAACCCAAACACTCAGTCAAACATAAACAAACCCAACAGTTAGGTTAAAAATGTCTTTAAACCTTTAAAAAATATATATTGAATTGTTAAAATGGGGTGTGGACTATCCCTATAAATACTATAAACAAATAGTTTACACAGGTTCTGTTTCAACATTTCAGGGGTATTAATACTCACAAGTACGTCAGTCATTATTTTGAGCTGTATTATTAACCTCAATAAACCTCATCAGACGTCACTGCACATTACGTTCTTAATAGCAGTGCTCAGTTTTAGGCTTTTAATATAAAGAGTTAAAAATAAAGATCCCACATGACACTCGTTATAATCAATCAACAAAAAATCCAACAAAAATCATCCCGGTAATTTACACTTCAGTACATTTTAAACTTCTGACCGCTTTAGGAAGTAAATGTGGGTTAATTAGTGAATTGTGGGTGACGTGCTGAAGGGGTTTCCTGAATCCCAGTCACTTCCAGAAGCGCTCATTGACTCAGGCCAGTCAAAAAATACCGCCCATACTGCTTCCAAAATAGCAGGCTGGCCTCATCCCTGCTCCGCTGTGATAAAAATCAGCTGTCACCCATTAGAGAGGGACAGAGTGAGACTGGACTACCAGCACAGACAGACCAGCACCAGCAGACGCACATCAGACTGAGGCTGCACAGACAGAAAGAGCTGCTGTCAAACCAGACATTCACTTTGTGAGTAAAGCGGTGTGGACTGAAAAGCTGCCAGTTAATGAAAGAAACTAAAACATTGTATTGTGAGCATGGGTTTGAATTAATGTGATACTACATAAATTAACTTATTGTAATTCAAACTTTGTTGTTGAATTTAAAATAGTTTTTCTAATTATCTCAACTTACACCAGTCAAACTAACTAAATATGTTAAGTTAAAATCTGTATATCTAAAAAAGTGTGTATGGTTTATGTAGCTAGTAATAGTAGCATAAAACATTTGTTGTCATAACTTTTTGGCATATTATTATACATACAGTGTACTAGAACATAGTGGTTGCTTTGTTGCTTATTTTTTAATCTATTTTTTTTTTGTGCACATTTTCCTTTAAATTTACAGACATTACCTTTAAAATGATATTAAATTACAATATAATGCAATGCATAATTAAAAAGATGTGAGCAAAGCGACTAAAAAAAGGTCATGA